TATGCCTCTACTTGACTAGCTCATTGATCAAAGATGGTTATGTTTCCTAACCATAGACATGAGTTGTCATTTGATTAACGGGATCACATCATTAGGAGAATGATGTGATTGACTTGACCCATTCCGTTAGCATAGCACTTGATCATTTAGTTTGTTGCTATTGCTTTCTTCATGACTTATACATGTTCCTATGACTATGAGATTATGCAACTCCCGTTTACCAGAGGAACACTTTGTGTGCTACCAAACGTCACAACGTAACTGGGTGATTATAAAGGTGCTCTATAGGTGTCTCCGAAGGTACTTGTTGGGTTGTCATATTTCGAGATTAGGATTTGTCACTCCGATTGTCGAAGAGGTATCTCTGGGCCCTCTCGGTAATGCACATCACTTAAGCCTTGCAAGCATTGCAACTAATAAGTTAGTTGCGGGATGATGTATTACGGAACGAGTAAAAGAGACTTGTCGGTAACGAGATTGAACTAGGTATTGAGATACCGACGATCGAATCTCGGGCAAGTAACATACCGATGACAAAGGGAACAACGCATGTTGTTATGCGGTCTGACTGATAAAGATCTTCGTAGAATATGTGGGAGCCAATATGAGCATCCAGGTTCCGCTATTGGTTATGGACCGGAGACGTGTCTCGGTCATGTCTACATAGTTCTCGAACCCGTAGGGTCCGCACGCTTAAGGTTTTGATGACAGTTATATTATGAGTCTATGAGTTTTGATGTACCGAAGGAGTTCGGAGTCCCGGATGAGATCGGGGACATGACGAGGAGTCTCTAAATGGTCAAGACGTAAAGATCGATATATTGGCCGACTATATTCGGACATCGGAAAGGTTCCGAGTGATTCGGGTATTTTTCGGAGTACCGGAGAGTTACGGGAATTCGCCGGGGAGTATATGGGCCTTATTGGGCCATACGGGAATAGAGGAGAGAGGCCAAAAGGAAGGAGGCGCGCGCCCCCCCTCTGGTCCGAATTGGACAAGGGGTGCAGCCCACTTTTCCTTGTTCCTCTCCCCCTCTTTCCTTCTCTCCTACTCCAACAAGGGAAGGAGGAGTCCTACTCCCGGTGGGAGTAGGACTCCCCCCTTGGCGCGCCCTCCTCCTAGGCCGGCCGCCTCCCTCCCTTTCTCCTTTATATACGGGGGCAGGGGGCACCCCAGAGACACAACAGTTGATCATTGATCTCTTAGCCGTGTGCGGTACCCCCCCCCTCCATCACAGTCCTCGATAATATTGTAGTGGTGCTTAGGCAAAGCCCTGCGACAGTAGAACATCAAGATCGTCACCACACCGTCGTGCTGACGGAACTCTTCCCCGACATTCTACTGGCTCGGAGTCCGGGGATCGTCATCGAGCTGAACGTGTGCTAGAACTCGGAGGTGCCGTAGTTTCGGTGCTTGATCGGTCGGGCCATGAAGACGTACGACTACATCAACCACGTTGTGCTAACGCTTCCGCTTTCGGTCTATGAGGGTACGTAGACAACACTCTCCCCTATCGTTGCTATGCATCACCATGATCTTGCATGTGCGTAGGAATTTTTTTGAAATTGCTACATTCCCCAACAAGGTTTACCTTAATACTTTTGTTGTAGTTGCGGATGCTTGCAATAGAGGTTAATCATAAGTGGGATGCTTGTCCAAGTAAGGGCAGCACCCAAGCACTGGTCCACTCACATATCAAATTATCAAAGTACCGAATGCGAATCATATGATCGTGATTAAACCTAGCTTGATGATATTCCCATGTGTCCTCGGGAGCGCTTTACATCATATAAGAGTTTGTCCAGGCTTGTCCTTTGCTACAAAAAAGATTGGGCCACCTTGCTCCACTTTATTTACTTTTGTTACTTGTTACAAATTATCCTATCACAAAACTATCTGTTACCTATTATTTCAGTGCTTGCAGAGAATACCTTGCTGAAAACCGCTTATCATTTCCTTCTGCTCCTCGTTGGGTTCGACACTCTTACTTATCGAAAGGACTACGATAGATCCCCTATACTTGTGGGTCATCATGCCCCAAAGATTCTACCGGAGAGTCAAGACGAAAACGTGTGCCAACCCCTATGCATTGGTTCATGGGCGGAACCCGCAAGTTGATCACCAAAACATACATCAAGTGGATCAATAGAATAGCCCATTGTCACCACGTGTATCCCGTGCAAGACATACATCAAGTGTTCTCAAATCCTTAAAGACTTAATCCGATAAGATAACTTCAAAAGGAAAACTCAATCCATTACAAGAGAGTAGAGGGGAGAAACATCATAAGATCGAACTATAATAGTAAAGCTCATGATACATCAAGATCGTACCACCTCAAGAACATGAGAGAGAGGGAGATCAAACACATAGCTACTGGTACATACCCTCAGCCCCAAGGGAGAACTACTCCCTCCTCGTCATGGAGAGCACTGGGATGATGAAGATGGCCACAGAGAGGGATTCCCCCTCCGGCAGGGTGCCGGAACGGGTCTAGATTGGCTTTCGGTGGCTATAGAGGCTTCTGGCGGCGGAACTCCCGATCTATTCTGCTCCCCGAAGTTTTTAGAGTATATGGGTATATATGGGAGGAAGAAGTACGTCGGTGGACCTCCGGGCTGTCCACGAGGCAGGGGGCGCGCCCAGGGGGGTGGGCGCCCCCACCCTCGTGGGCAGCCCGGGACTCTCCTGGTCCATCTCCGATACTCCGTGGGCTTCTTCTGGTCCAAAAATAAGTTCCGTGAAGTTTCAGGTCAATTGGACTCTGTTTGATTTTCCTTTTCTGTGATACTCTTAAACAAGGAAAAAACATAAACTGGCACTGGGCTCTGGGTTAATAGATTAGTCCCAAAAATCATATAAAATAGCATATAAATGCATATAGAACATCCAAATTGATAATATAATAGCATGGAACAATAAAAAATTATAGATACGTTGGAGACGTATCAGATGCGCGCCTGCAGGCCTGCAGATCTCCGAGCTGGCTGGCCAAATCGCCGCTGCAGCAGTAACCCGCCATATCATGGGCTTCGATTCACCTCGCCGTTTTCAAGCAGAGCCGGGCCCGCCTCCGCCTTAAACCGCCGCCAACTCCTCCTGCTCTACATGTCCGCGCTAAAACCGGTTGCGCCTCTCTGACCCGCTACTGCCAGCCGCATCCGCGCAACCCGACCGTAGCCCCAGCCTGTGAGTTGCCACTGCTGTGGTCTCCGCCGTGATCCCCGTTCAAACCGACTTGTCTCCGCCGGATGTGCCTCACCTTTTGTCTTTTTACATAAAGTCATCTGCTACTGGATGAGATTTTGGTTCAGTCTCCCCTTGGTACATGCACACCAGGAAGTTACCAGACAAACTATGATGATGTCCTGTTGTCCCTGTACGACAAGCCATAGCTACATGCACAATTGGTGCTGCTAGTAAAGTAAACAGTGGCAGAAACAGAAGTGTCCAATCAAGTCAAATGAATGGATGGATGATTGAAAGTGGAGGCATGCAAATTCCGCTAATCAGGATAATTTGTGTCGACCTCTGCGTCCAGTGTTATCAAGCATCAGTGCCTGCATTCATCTACAAAAATACCAGGTGCTGTCAGTTTCATTTATTTTAACACATATTATTTTTGTCAAAGAACGATTACTCTGGTCTATATATTTTTTATATGCAGGATAATCCTTCACTACAAGGGTGATTTATACCGCGGGTATGGAGTGCACACTAGCAATATTCTGCACTGGCGCTCTTCCGTGTCGTGCTGCTGGACGGATATGTGAGCAAATCACCCCCCACTACATCAACACACGCGACTGGCTCATGGACCGCAACCGCCACCGACTCGCCCGCGTCTGCGCCATTTTCAACACCGCGACTGACTCTCCCATCCGCGTCGGCTTACAATGTCGCGGCCAACTCATCTGTCCGAGCTGTCTTTGATGCTACGGTCATCTTTGTTGTCCGTCTCTCGTGGCCTGGTTTACATCAACATACCAGGCCGCACCTGTCTGCATGAGCTATTTATTAAGTATGAGCAAGTCACAGCTTGGGTAGCCCGGTTTTCTTCCAACAAATTGGAGGCAAATTATCATCAGCTGCCGACTGCGTTGGATGGCTCAATGTTCATGTGCACAAGTTGCCACCACTATAGTTTGGTTAAACTTCAAACAACCAGTTGGAAGGAACCATTGGCCGAGTTGCTGACGCGGCTCATACAGGATCATTTATAGCCCGCCGCAGTTACCTCAACCTTATGTGCATTCACATCGCGTTATCAATACCAATGACATATACCTTCTGCTATGGTTAAATACGGAGAATCTCAAGACAACTCCTCGAGTCATCTTAAAACTCGGGGGCTACAATGACATGACTTGGCAAAATTGGCCGGTTTCAGTGAATTCAAGAACTCCGGGTCAGTGGAGCGAAGATAACCCCGCTTTGGAGGCTACTGCTTTATTGGCGAATATTTAAAGGCCGTAAGAAAATTTCCGGCTTAAAAAAAAGGATTCCGGTTTAAAATCCGGCTATCAAGCCTCGGCCCGGGCATTCGGTCTTTTTGGTTTGTTCGGTCCGGTCTTTTCGGTCTTCTAAGAATTCAGTCTCTCATAATTGAAGACCAAAATAATTTCGGTCTTTTCGGTTCTTAACTATTCGGTCTTCGGTCTTTACAATTCGATCTTCGGTCCCGACCAAATAGACCAAATTAATTGCTACAACTCAGATTCATGATACTTCCAGAACAATTATATGTTTATATTTGACAGGAAATAACAAGATTCATATCTGACAAGTAAGAAGATTCATGAATCATAGTCCAGCAGCAATATTCATGTATGCATATCATTTATATTTGACAGAAAGTAAGAAGACAAAAAGCAACAACATTTACATTTGACAAGTGAGAAGATAACAAGCAACACCGACACAAAGTAAGAAGATCACAAGCTACAACAACCCATGGAATATTGGAATCGACAAGCAGCAAACAGCAGACCACCATCACTTAGTACTTGATAACATAGTACTTGATATCAAACAAATCAATTTCAGCACCACCATGGACCTTGTGCTTTCCCTCCACCTTATCGCCAAATTCTTCAATCATCTCTGCAACAAGTCAAGTATTCAGTAAAATTTCATAATCTTAGTGTTGGTAACATCTTCTGCTAGTTCATAGAAAAGTTGGCAGATTTCTAGCATGCGAGGAGAGTGGTGGAGTGGAGTGTGTTTGGTTGATGACAAATGGAGAGTTCTGCAGTGGAGTGTGTTTGGTTGATGACGAACGCAATAATTACCTAGTACAGTTTTCAAGATTACTACAAGATGAGGAACAAACAATCAAACAAATTACTATGTGTGCATCATGATGTTCAGATTCAGATTCGGCTATATTAGAGCAGATGGCAATAATACAATTTGGCAATGATAAAAACCAAAAAGAACTAGCCACATAAACATAATAGGACATGCATTTAGATGGCTATTATGCTGGGTGTGCTCACATGATTAGTTTCACAACAGGAAGGATATTTGGGATCTGATGACAGATAACAAATTAGCTGCAGCTAACATTGGGAATCACAGATGGTGTACATAGAGACATGAAGTAGATGCTCACCTTCAGCTGCGATGTGGAGAAATAAAGGAGGGTAGTAGGCGGCGAGCCGGCGAGCAGAGTTGAAGAAGACGGGTGGTGATGAGTGGTGATGGACTGCAGATGCTGAACCACTCATTAGGGCGCGGAGCACCGGCGGCGGACGGCCGTGTCGCGGGCAGTGGAGCGACTGACGGGGGGTCGGGGATGGCGGCGCGGGGCGCCGATCTCCACTGGTCGGGGCCTTGGCTCGGGGCGCCGATCTTCATCGATCAGGGGCGCCCCGCGTGCCTCGATGCGGCGGTCACCACTGGCGGCGGACGGCTATGTCGCGGATAGTGGAGCGACGGACGGCGTGGGGCGCCGGTCTCCACTGGTCGGGGCCTGGGCTCGGGGCGCTGATCTTCATCGGTCAGGGGCGCGCCGCACGTCTCAATGCGGCGGTCCTCACCGGCTCACATCTCATGGGCATGGGGCGTCGGGCCACAGCGGTGGGCGACGGGCGGCGTGTGGCGGCTAGGGTTCCTAGTGGGAGAGAAAAAGAGGAATGTGAGTGAATTGGCAGCCGTATGCGTTCCTGTGAATCATGAGGTGAGGAGAAGGACGTGTACTCGTGTTGTGTGTGACCATTGGGCTGGCCATATGGGCCGCTTTGCGTATGGGCTATTCGGTCTATATGGTCTATTCGCTCCTCAAGACAGTAGGACCGGTCAGAGCATAACTAATTTGGTCTTCTATTTGTGTAGACCGTATTTTCTTTGGTCTTTTCTAGTTCGGTCTTTTCGGGTTTGGTCTCGGTCTATTTGGTTTCAGTCTTCGGTTTTTATGCCCAGGGTGAATCAAGCCCATATTATAAGAGCACAACTCTGTTACCTTGGTAATCCAGCTATCAAGCCCATATTATAAGAGCACAGCTCTGTTACCTTGGTAATCCGGCTATCAAGCCCATATTATAAGAGCACAACTCTGTTACCTTGGTAATCCGGCTATCAAGCCCATCTTATAAGAGCACAGCTCTGTTACCTTGGTAATCCGGCTATCAAGCCCATATTATAATAGCACAACTCTGTTACCTTGGTAATCCGGCTATGAAGCCCATCTTATAAGAGCACAACTCTGGTTACCTTGGTAATCCGACTATCAAGCCAATATTACAGCTTCATATGAACATAATCTACTTGGAGGCTTCAAGACCGGATTAAAGGGACCAAAGAGAGTCTGTTGCACAACACAGCTCAAACATAGGTACCCCTTGGGCACAACCCACATAATCACTTGGGGGCTTGGTCGTATTCGAACCATAGCTACACCTCTTGATGGGCGTAAGGCCACCAGGGAAATCACTTGGGGGCTTGGTCGTATTCGAACCATAGCTACACCTCTTGATCAGCGTAAGGCCACCAGGGAAATCACTTGGGGGCTTGGTCGTATTCGAACCATAGCTACACCTCTTGATCGGCGTAAGGCCACCAGGGAAATCACTTGGGGGCTTGGTCGTATTCGAACCATAGATTAAACCCTCTTGATCGGTTCAATGCCACATACATATACATCATCATATATTGCATCATTCATTGCATCATCATAGCATACATCATACGTGCATGGATATACCGGTTTATATGGAAGGAATCGATTTTCAAACCAGGTTATATTATTCAAATCTTTAATATCCAACATGGCTGGATTTTTTGTTATGGTTACCAATAACCAATATTATGATTAAGGTTGTCAAAGTCGCTTCACCGCAATGGCTATTATTTTATCAATGGATATAATTTATTCTACAATGGAAGAAATAGTCCTGAGTCGCTGCAGGCTTACGACCCGGCACTTGGGGGCTACATTATTCAAATTGAGATTACATCAAATATGCAAGTCCCATGTCACTACCAGCATGCACCATGGCACTTGGGGGCTAATGCAAAGTCATTTTTTCATCACATTGAAGACCCGACTCATCACATTGTAATGAGCCGGCCCTTGGGGGCTACCAATTGCTCTTGTCAACAATTCAAGCCCCATGATGGGAGTTAGATCATATGATGTTATTTTCAATGAAGTATATATAAAGTCCCAGCTCAGTATTATCTTACTGAGCCGGCCCTTGGAGGCTACAAGTTGCTGTTAAAGTATACATGATCATATTTTCAAAGTCCTTGCTCATTATTTGCATAATGACCCGGCCCTTGGGGGCTACACTGGTTGAAGTTTTTATGAGCATAAGGCAATTTCAAGTCTCGGGTTGCTGCAAGCATGACAATCCAGCACTTGGGGGCTACATATGTGGAATATTCAGTTTATGACTCGTGACTGAGATGAACAAATCAGATGTCTTCAAGGTTGTGACATTTATATTGAAGCAAGTCTTAAGCTGTTGCTACGCTACCTTCTCAAGACATGGGGGCTACAAGTGATAGGCATATAAGAGGTATATTTACAAGCCTGATGTTAACTACAGTTATGACCCGGTGCCATCAATATTTATAAACCGGCAATTTTGGCAATGATAAACTAGCAAGTTTTGCATCCTTAAACCGGCTGAAGATCAGATGAGTATTTCAAGGACCAATATTTTTGTTAAGCATTGGGAGCTGAATTAAATGAATTATTCTTCACAATTTTTCTCTGTGACAAACCAATGTCAGCAAATTGATTATGAAGCTAGCCTATTGACCCGGATTTTCCAGAAGAAGGAAATGACAAGGACTTAAGGATGATTCAGGATCAGTTTAACATGGATAAATCCAAATTAAACTGGGGGCTAATGTCGGGGATATACCTCGCGTCATGACCCGGTCGGAGTTATAACCTGGCTGGGACTTGGTAAGCCGACAGATAGTTAAGACACACAATTAAGGCAGATGTTAAGTCAGATGATAACCCGGCAGGTGTTAAGTCAGATGATAACCCGACAGATGTTAAGTCAGATGATGACCTGACAGGTGTTAAGTTAGATCATAACTCGGCAGACAGTCATAAACCGGCATACTATCATAACCCGATAGACAATCATAACCCGGCAGACAGTCATAACCCAGCAGATAAGACAGAGTCACCTGGGGTTAACAAGCCTGAAACGTTAAGAAGCCCATGATGTTAAGAAACCCATGAATAGAAGACAAAATAGTTTAAGTCTTAATCCGAGTTGGACTCTACATGTAACCCGCCCCTTCAACATATATAAGGAGGGGCCGGGCACCCCAAACGGGGAGAGAAAATTCTTAAGGGTTAGGCATAACTGGGAGAGCCGGTTTACGGCGACTCCCTCGTGATGATAATGAGACCTAGCCACAAACAGCATGTAGGGTTGTTACCGGATGATGTTTCCCGGGGCCCGAAGCTGTCTAAATCCTTGTATTGTGTTGCGTCTCTCCATTCCTCTCAACCCCTGCCAAGCTACTACATAGATGTGTTGGCCTCACGACTAAGTCCTTTCAATGAGGACATCTGCCGTAACAATTCCACGACACAACTCAATACTTAGAACAAAATATGACTCTATGTGAATGCCTCCGGCGGTGTACCGGGATGTGCAATGAATCAAGAGTGACATGTATGAAAAATGAATGGTGGCCTTGCCACAAATACGATGTCAACTTCATGATCATGCAAAGCAATATGACAATGATGGAGCGTGTCATAATAAATGGAACGGTGAAAAGTTGCATGGCGATATATCTCTGAATGGCTATGGAAATGCCATAATAGGTAGGTATGGTGGCTGTTTTGAGGAAGATATAAGGAGGCTTATGTGTGATAGAGCGTATCATATCACGGGGTTTGGATGCACCGGCGAAGTTTGCACCAACTCTCGAGGTTAGAAAGGGCAATGCACGGTACCGAAGAGGCTAGCAATGATGGAAGGGTGAGAGTGTGTATAATCCATGGACTCAACATTAGTCATAAAGAACTCACATACTTATTGCAAAAATCTACAAGTCATCAAAACCAAGCACTATGCACATGCTCCTAGGGGGATAGATTGGTAGGAAAAGACCATCGCTCGTCCCCGACTGCCACTCATAAGGAAAGCAATCAAAGAACACCTCATGCTTCAAATTTGTCACACAACGTTTACCATACGTGCTACGACACTTGCAAACTTCGACACAAGTATTTCTCAATTCCACAATTACTCAACTAGCACGACTCTAATATTACCATCTTTATGTCTCAAAACAACTATCAAGTATCAAACTTCTCATAGTATTTAATGCACTCTATATGAAAGTTTTTATTATACCCATCCTGGATGCCTATCATATTAAGACTAATTTTATAGCCAAAGAAAATTACCATGCTATTCTAAAATACTCTCAAAATAAAATAAGTGAAGCATGAGAGATCAATAATTTCTATAAAATAAAACCACCACTGTGCTCTAAAAAGGTATAAGTGAAGCACTAGAGCAAAATTATCTAGCTCAAAAGATATAAGTGAAGCACATAGAGTATTCAAATAAATTCTGATTCATGTGTGTCTCCAAAAGGTGTGTACAACAAGGATGATTGTGGTAAACTAAAAATCAAAGACTCAAATCATACAAGACGCTCCAAGCAAAACACATATCATGTGGTGGATAAAAATATAGCCTCAAGTAAAGTTACCGATAGACGAAGACGAAAGAGGGGATGCCTTCCGGGGAATCCCCAAGCTTAGGCTTTTGGTTGTCCTTGAATTTTACCCTGGGGTGCCTTGGGCCCAAAATCCATCAAATCTTTACCCAAAAACTTGAAAACTTCACAACACAAAACTTAAACAAAAAATCTCATGAGCTCCGTTAGTGTAAGAAAACAAACCACCACTTTAAGGTACTGTAATGAACTCATTCTTTATTTATATTGGTGTTAAACCTATTGTATGCCAACTTCTCTATGGTTCATACCCCCCGATACTAGCCATAGATTCATCAAAATAAGCAAACAACACACGAAAAACAGAATCTGTCAAAAACAGAACTGTCTGTAGTAATATGTTAGTTTCGAATACTTCTGTAACTCAAAAAATTCCGAAAAATTAGGAAGTCCTAAATAATTTATATATTAAGCTACTTCAGTTGGAATTGGTATTTTATCGCTCTCTGGTAAAAATTGAAAATTATTCTCGTGAGCGCATACTTTCTGTTTTTTTCAGCAA